CAAAGATTTATTTATTTATTTATTTATTTATTTATTTATTTATTTATTTATTTATGAGAGAGAGAGAGAGAGAGAGAGAGAGAGAGAGAGAGAGGCAGAGACACAGGAGGAGGGAGAAGCGGGCTCCATGCAGGGAGCCCGACGTGGGACTCAATCCCGTGACTCCAGGATTGTGCCCTGGGCCAAAGGGAGTCGCTAAAACGCTGAGCCACCCAGGGATCCCTAAAACAAATCTTTTAAAAAAAAATCCCTCTTTATGTTTAATTTTTGATATTTTAGTTACTGTGTCTTGGTAACCCTCTTTGGGTTCATCTTGTGGGGGCTCTCTGTGCTTCCTGAATGTGGATGTCTGTTTCCTTCCCTAGGTTAGAGAAGGTTTCAGCTATTATTTCTTCAAATATTCTTACTGACCTTTTCTCTCTCTTTCCCTTCTGGGAAATCTCTAACGTGTATATTGGTACATTTGATGTTTTTCTGGAGATCCTTAAACCTATCATCCTTTTTTTTTTTTAATTCCTCTTGCTGTTTGGCTTGGATGATTTCTACTATCCCATTCTTCTGCATCCTGTAATCTGCTGTTAATTCCTGCTAGTGTATGTATTCTCCAGCTTGATTGGTTTTTGTACTTTCTCTTTATTGAAGTTCTCACTGAGTTTTGCTACCCTTCCAAATTCATTGACCATCTTTATGACTGTCTCTTTGAATTCCTTATCAGGTAGATTGTATCTTCATTGTTTAGTTCTTTTTAATGAGGTTTTGTCTTATTTCCCTTGGAACATATTCCTCTGTCTCCTTATTTTGTCTGATTCTCTGGTTTTCTGTGTATTCGTAGATCAACTTTTTCTCTTGGTCTTTAAGGTAGTGGTCTAGTGTGGCTTATGGGGCCCAGAAGCACAGTTCCCTCTGGTCACCAGAACCAGATGCTCCTGGAGTGTCCCGTTTGAGGACTTTGTGCATGCTGCTGTTATGACTGGGAGGTAACTGCTGTGGGGCTGCTTGTAGGTGGTCCTGGCCCCCAAAACTGCTGGCTGAGGGGTCTGGCAGCAACTGTTATGTACATGCTGGTGGGCAGGGTTGCCTCCCCTCCTCCCCAGGGTAAGAGTTGCTTTGGAAGGATGCTAGTCTCATGGAGGCTGCCTATTGGTTGTAGCAGGGCAGGAACTGCTTTGGAGGGACATTTGTCTGGATTGGTGGATTGAGTGTGGCTGGTCCACAGGGGAATACCAGGGTGGGTTGATTGGTGCCAGCAATGCAATTGGAGAGTGTCAGGACTCTCTCCTTCCAGCATTGGGCCAGGTAGGTTGAGAAAGGTCAAGAAAAAAAAAAGTGAGCACACTTATCTGAAAACTCTAGAAAAAATAAATCTAGTATCAGAAAGCATGTACCAGTGGTTGCCATGGGATGAGGATGGGAAAGGACTAAGATGGGGAGCAAAGGGAACTGTTTGGAATGATGGCAGTGGTGGTTATGTGGGTGTATAAATTTATCAAACTTAGTTAAATATACAATTAAATATTATTGTACTTCAACTATCCTTCATTAAGCTAATTATAAAAAATAGGTCCCAGGTGCACTGGGTGGTGGCTCAATTGGTTAATCATCCAACTCTTGATCTTAGCTCAGGTCTTGATCTCAGGATCATGAGTTCAAGCCCCACACTGGGTTCCATGCTGGGCATGGAGCTGACTTAAAAAAAAAAAAGTCCTAAACTAAAAATAAAAGCCAATATAGCAGTTACAAATTTGCTGAAATCACTTTTTGAAGTATTAGCCTGTTATCCTGAAAACCTGAAGAAATGTTTTGGGAAATCTGAAAACATAAGGTATCAGGATTTTTAAATTTAAACTCTTAAAATAGGGTACTTAAAAACAAGAACAAAGCAAATGAGCAAATTGGGCTCTTCACTCCAAAAGAATATGCCATCATGGTTTCCATAATTTTTATTTCTATTTCCAGAAACTGAAAAGTTTAAGTTTTTAAAGCCCTGACTGGAGATGTGCGTTTATTTATGTTAACCGTCTAGTCAAATGTACTTTAGGGGCTTATTAGCTGGGAAAAGCAACATTAAAAAGACCAATTTTTTATGTAGAAGATGTACAGTCCCAGAGATGAGTCATGTTTTCCAAGTTTATTTTAGAAAAGAAGCCAAAGCAAAACTCAAAAAAACAAAAACAAAAACAACCCTCAAATCCCAGAAGCATAAAAATATCTTAAAATAGAAATATACAAAGCTTTTAGAATATGAAGTGATCAGGGGTGTATGGCTGGCTGGGTGCATAGAGTGTGCAACTCTTGGTCTTGGGGTTGTGAGTGAGCCCCATGTTGAGTGTACAGGTTACTTAAAAATAATGTAAAAATCTTTTTAAAAATAGGAAGTGATCAACAGGTTTTAGATGCAGAAACTTTAACAGTGTTTGCTCAGTATACAGTGCCCTTAATTGAGGAACATGTCTACAGGAAAAGAAACATCTTGCTTTCAAAATTCGTAATCTCTGTGTATAGAATCCAGTATGAACTCTTTTCTTTCCCTTCTGGAATAAGTGGACTTTGAATGAAACATGTAGATACTCACTTATGTGTGTAGACTTCAACTACTTTTGCTCTTCAGTGGCTTATTTCCAATTGCTTGCAGTACTTCTATCCTCGGAGTTAAACTCTACCTCAAATCTGTATTTCCATACCAAACTCATCATCTTCCTTGTTACCCTCTCACACTTTTTTCCATCTAATTCCTGCTTACTGGATTTTTCCTTTTCTTTTCTTTTTTTTTAAAGGTTTATTTATTTCAGAGAGAGGGGAGGGCAGGGAGAGACAAAGGGAGAGGGAGAGAGTATCTCAGGTGGACTTGCAGCTGAGCAAGGAGCCCAATGTAGAGTTTGATCCCACCACCCTGAGATCACACCTGAGCTGAAACCAAGGCTGATGCTTAACCAACTTCACCACCTAGGCATCTCAAGGGATTTTTTTTTTCTTAAACAGAAAGACCATGTACTTCCTAAGTCACATGGTAGTCTTCATGTTTTCAACGATTCCTATATGCTTGGAGTCGTCATTCAATCTGAAAATAGAGATGAACTTTCCAAAATAATTCCTTACATATTAAAATCATCACTTTTATTTTTAAAAAAGATTTTATCTGACAGAGAGAGAGTATGTGAGCACAGGCAGGGGGAGCAGCAGGCAGAGGGAGAGATGCCGGCTCCCCTCAGAGCAGAGAACCTGACATAGGGCTTGATCCCATAACCCTGGGATTATGACCTAAGCCAAAGGCAGATACTTAACTGAGCCACCCAGGTGCCCCACTTTTTTTTTTTTTTAAAACAAAGCTAACAAGCATTATCTACTAAAAATAAGTAAGTGAAGTTTTAGTTTAGAGGAAGCATGTGTGAAATAACACTTCCAAAGTACCACAAGGTTCTGGCATCTCTCCCGTTGAGCACACCCAAGAGAGTTTGGAAGAACCACTTCGTTTTGACGTTCATTCCTGGCATAGAGTAACATAGCCCCATTTTGAGAAAGAGTTGAGTTTTACACATTTTTTTTAAAAAAAGATTTTATTTACTTATTGAGAGAGAGAGAGAGAGAGGCAGAGACACAGGCAGAGGGAGAAGCAGGCTCCATGGAGGGAGCCTGACGTGGGACTCAATCCCAGGTCTCCAGGATCAGGCCCTGGGCTGAAGGTGGCGCTAAACCATTGAGCCACCCGGGCTGCCCAGTTTTACACATTTTAATAAATATAAGCCCAACATTTCATGAAGGCTTCTTATGTATAAAAAACTTAATATGCTTTCTAGTGATGGGAAGAGGAACGTGGGGAAAAACTATAATTCTATCTTACGTAGACAGACTAGATAAGAACACTTTCTCTACAATGAATTCACTCAGCAAACAGTTCTTTACTGAATGCCTTCTCTGTGCCAACTACTGGGGCTAGAGGTAAGACTGTGCCATGTCCTTGCTCTCAGAGTTTACATTCTACTATAGGTAATTTCAGTTGAAACTTTGCTTTTAAAAAAAGATTTCATAGGGTAGCCCCGGTGGCTTAGCGGCTTAGCACCACCTTCGGCCTGGGGTGTGATCCTGGAGACCTGGGATTGAGTCCCACGGGTGTGATCCTGGACACCTGGCATCGAGTCCCACGTTGGGCTCCCTGCATGGAGCCTGCTTCTCCCTCTGCCTGGGTCTCTGCCTCATGAATAAATAATAAATCTTAAAAAAAAGATTTTATATATTTGAGAGATAGCAACAGATAGTGAGAGAGAGCACAAGTGGGGAGGAGGGGGAGAAGCAGGCTCCTTGCTGAGCAGGGAGTCAGATGTGGGGCTTAGTCCCAGGGCTCTGGGATCATGACCTGGGCCGAGGGCAGAGGCTTTTTTTTTTTTTTTTGGAGATTGATTTTATTTTTATCTATTTATCTTTTATTGGAGTTCAATTTGCCAACATATAGCATAACACCCAGTGCTCATCCCATCAAGTGCCCCCCTCAGTGCCCATCATCCAGTCACCCCCACCCCCCACCCACCTCCCTTTCCACCACCCCTAGTTCGTTTCCCAGTTAGGAGTCTCTCATGCTGTCTCCCTTTCTGGTATTTCCCGCTCATTTTTTCTCCTTTCCCCTTTATTCCCTTTCACTATTTTTTTTATATTCCCCAAATGAATGAGACCATATGTTTGTCCTTCTCCGATTGACTTATTTCACTCAGCGTAATACCCTCCAGTTCCATCCACGTCGAAGCAAATGGTGGGTATTTGTGGTTTCTAATGGCTGAGTAATATTCCATTGTATACATAGACCACAGCTTCTTTATCCATTCATCTTTCGATGGACACCGAGGCTCCTTCCACAGTTGGGCTATTGTGGACATTGCTGCTATGAACATTGGGGTGCAGGAAGGCATAGGTTTTTAACCGAGCCACCCAGGTGCTCCTCGGCTGAAACTTTAATCAGAGTGAAAATGTGGGAGTACAATATATAAAATGAAATAATAAAAAGACACATATTAAACAACTTAGAGAATTTATTTGGAAAGTAGGAAATAAAAAGAATGATTTTAACATTTATTTAGAATACGAACAAAACTAGAAAAAGTTAAACTACAGGAAAGAAGGCAGAGAGTACAGAAGTTGGCTTAATGGCCATCCAATATAAACAAGCAAAACCTAAGTTTCTTTCATGCAAATAAGCATTAAGGAGAAGGGCACAGGAATGTTTACAGACCAGGCCACAACAAATATTTTAAAAATTTACATAAGAAAATGTACATAAATGAAAAAATAAACTAGACAATTTACAAGAAATGTTTTATAGGTTACAATAGGCTATAAGTTAGTTTATTATGAATAAAATTTATAGCACATCATACATTTTTACATCACAGATTCAGTGTTAAAAGAATTCCAACATGACGAAAGCTTATTAGACTTGACAAGAAGAATGTGAAGGACAGAATAAGGCAACTTAAACTGAAATGGCTTATATAAGTAAAATTAAAACACACAAATATCTAGATATGATTTGGTCAATAACTGGGCAGAATTAAGACAAATGTCATTTACTTTAGTTAAAAAGTGGAAGTCTCAATATAGTTCAGATAAAAAGGGAAGCATACAATTTGTAAAAAAATAATAAAGCCGTCTTCTTATTAAGACTTACATCCTAATTCCATTAATTATAGTTGGGACAAAGAGACTAAGATATTGATGTTAGTTAGGTTGTACACAGTTACCTTTTGTTTCTAAGTGTTTGTTCTAAATGTATACCTCAGAAAAAAGTTTTAAATTTCAAAATGGCTTAATATCTGCAATAACCACTGATTGTGCCATGTACGATGTCCATGATTCAGAGATACACATAAAGCTAAAATAATCTCAAACTATTTGCATTACTTATGTATATTTTACAAATTATGTAAAAGTTCAAATGTTTTCTTTGAAAGCTACTGAAACTATAAGCAATGCAATGAATAAAAGATGTTAATAGCAAAAAAATTCAGCAATATCATAGAATTGAAATTCAGTTGCATATTTTATACAATTCAAAACCTTGAATTTTAACTTCATTCACTCCTTTGAAAAATATATTCATTAGTTCTTTTAAACACAAAATTAGTGGCAGCTGCAGCAAAATGACTGAAAATTTTAATCTCTTAACTACACAAAAAGCCAACATATAAAGATTTCTAAATTTTTTTCTTAAGGAAAAAAAAATTATTTCCCCTCAAACACATCATCATTCAGCACTATGTAGTACTTGAAGTCTCAGTATCAACTCATTGCTACATTTATTTTAAATAACAAGCTGGGAATGTCAGAACCATTATTCTCAGACAATTCTAAGGATAAAAGTATTTTAGGTCTTCATCACATTTGATGTAAATGACTAGAATGATATTTCAACTCACTTGGAGGTAATTGAAATTGTTTTAGAAATTTCACTAAGAATTGTGTTTGACAAAAACAGTAATTCCTGGAAGAGTTTATCCCACATCTGTTCCTACTCACAATGACCAGAAAGAAGAAACAGCTTGAAGAAAAGGGCCACTAAAAATCTCAAATATATCTAATATTCAAACATTCATGAATTTAGTGGGATGTTCCTTTTTGTACAATGGAAAAGTTATAATAATGTCCACATAATTTTAAAGTTAACACAATAAAAATTCCAGATACTTCCACAGATAAAAGCGTGCACACACATGTGCACACACACATACACCGACACACACACACTTTACTATATATATATAAAACCCCTCATATTACTTTAAGTCTATCTACTTGGCCAGTATAGGCAAGAACATAACATTATGAGAGAACATCTAATACTATTCTACTGGTTTGGTGAGAATCCAGAATCTAGTGCCTATCAACATATATAAATCATATTAACTTCAAAACAGGACACCACGTATCTAAACAAATTATTTTAGTCTTTCTAAATGCTGCCATGAATAGAGCAACTAACTGTCTTTTTTCGGAATCCTGATGGTAAATGAGTCATTTCCCATTGTAACAAATCAATTCCCTCATTTTATAATGAAAGAAAATAAGAATTTAGACCACTGGCTGGCACAATTTCTAAAATAATGCCAACTTACCATCCTACATCCTCTGAACACACAAGAGATAACACAAGCAAAAAAGACTGCTTTGACAAGACATTTGAACTTTTCAGAAGTGGAAATTACTCAGAATTTTAGATATGGTCAAAAAGCTAGGGTGATTTACTTTTTATGTCACCATTATTTTTATTAGGCTATTAAAAATACCTTAAAGGAAGAAAAAAATTACTTCTTTTGGTCTTTATTACAAGGCTCAGTAGAAAATATAAGACAACCACTGTCTCAAATATTGAAAATAGGCAGTAATACAGATAAAGCACATTATTTTCTGAGGTTATCTGATGATAGAAACAAAGTTGGCTGAATTCCTTATTAGGAAAACAGGACATCAATGACATTTCCTGGCAAATCATCTTAAATAAGGTCAAAGAGTATCACAAAAAGGCAATATATTTCTAATATTTTGTTTATACATACCACAAAACTCAGTTAAATGCAAAATAATAGACACTCATTTTTTTCTGGTGATTATCCTTTAAGAGTTTTTCCATGGCTTTAAATAAGAAAGGATTTCTAAGCTATATCCTCAAATGCAACGGACTAAAAAGCATAAAGTGCTCAACAGAAAAAAAAAGATATACTACACAAAATATGAACATTTTTGCATATAAAAACAAGCAAAGTGGTTATAAAGGACATCTGGAAATCATTGCCTTGCTAAGCTTTCCACCCAAGAATGCAACCTTAGAAATCAAGGCAAGATGTGATGGACTGCTCTTAGAAGGCAAGAGTTCCCATCTGACATAGAGGAAAACCTTTCCCTTTAGCTGCATTTTTCTTAAAGACACGGGACTTTCAGGAACTAGTACTTATAATACAGTAATCACATTTGCATGCAAAGGTAAAAAACTCGGGAATCTTTACAGAGTCTAGTATTTGGCAAAAAATCTGAACCTCCTTAAAGACTGTCAACGGCCATGTCTGTTATTGGCAATGGCACTGACTTTACCTAAACAAAGAGCCCACCTATTTAAATTAGAGTAGCTAAGCAAGGAATGCCCCTGTTGACAAGCAAGCAAGTCTAATACTATGTCTTTGGAGAAATTAGGTATAGAACGAAAAGCCATTAGTTTTAAATGCCTCTAGTTAAAAGGCAATTTTTTGCCGGGAGAGGGGGGTATTGGTAGCAGAAAGTTCTAGACATTGTGTTCTTTATCAAGTCCCCAAATAGATAGTGCTCTTTGCATTTGAAAATACCAGTTCTTAAGAATGAAAATTAAATCCAAAAATTATAAAGGTTCTCTTGTGTGTATAAAACTCAATGAAGAATTAAACAGGCCTCTTTTTAGTCCTAAAATTGTCTTCTCAAAGTTCAATTAGATAAGGTTGGGGGGACTTAAGTCACTGGAATCATCAAATTTGCTTCAGTGAAGGAAAAAGACATTCTGGAGACTGTTGAGGTCGGTCAGGATGGTTCTTGGGCAACTTTATCAGTATCACTGTAAAAATGATACATGGTCATGATGAAATGGCAGGATTCAATGTAAGGTATTTTTGAATTGGCCAGAAATACAGCTAATCTGTGTAAAATAAACTAGCCCAAACGAGCTATTTACCTTCCTTCTGTATTTAAAAAAAAAACTCCCATAAAAAATAATATTTCCCATATCCCCTCTCAAACATTCTTTAAAAAGCCGTTATTCATAAAGTTTTAATGGATACATGATAGTGTTCATTTTTAAGAGCTAGCTCTGGAACTGCACTGTCTAGTACAGTAGCCACTACCCAAATTTGGCTCTTGAGAACTTGGAATGTGGTTAGCCTAAACTGAGGTGTGCCCTAAGTATAAATATACACTGGTTTTAAAGACAAAGTTAAACAAAAATAGGTATCTCCTAAATAACTTTCTATAGTGATTATACGTTGAAATGGTAACATACCAGACATATTGGGTTAAATAGAAATATATAATCAAAATGATTTTCACCTGTTTCTTTTTACTTTTTAAATGTGCCTACTAGAAAATGACAAATTACATATGGCTTACACTTTATGTTCTTAAACTGTACAGTCTAATAGAGAGCTTTTAGGCATTATGCTGATTGGGCTTAGAACTAAACCTATTTACCACTGTATGCTTACAAAGAATTTTGTGAGGCTATAAAAAAAAAATACTAGAATCTTGGCAGTCTATCACAACTCTGTGTTCATGTTCATTACTCCAGGAATTCTTGATTATACATGAGAATAGCCAAGATCAACAGTGGTGAAATGGTTGTTCACTGTATATGCATTTTAACAGGTAACTTCAGTTTCAAAGGACAAAAGTATGAAACACAGTCCCAAATTAACAAAAGCAATGATCAACTTAACTTACATGGACTTTGACCCTTCCATTTCTTTCTTAAAGACAGCCCCAGATCTATAGCTGTTAATATAGTTTGCCAGAGGTATACAACTTGAAATTATCACTTAAAAATAAAAACTTTTTATACAAATGTCCAAATCACAGAATTTTAAAATAAACTGAACGCATGGCTTTTTGTAATAACAGAAATAAATATCTAGCTACAACAGTGGAAACATTAAAGTAAGAAACATTTAGTCATTGTAGATTTTTCAAAATGACTTACTGACCTAACATGAATTCAAAGTTCCAAATATTCTAAATTCTAAAAAATTACCTTACATGCTTTTCCCTCTAAATTAAATCACTCTCATTATTCAGATGTTCATGTCTTTAAATAAATAAAACTGAATTTTAAATATTTGAGCACAAAATTTGAAAACTATAAGGAGAAATGTCTCAAGCACCTCTACTGCACATTGTTTTTTATGGAAAAAAATTATGTTCCATAAAACCATATAAATACTTCTTTCTTCCTATAATGTAAACAATTTTTAAGCTCTTCAAAGCACATCCACATTTACTGGTAATTTAAGGAGGTGAATATTTTCCCCAAATCTACTTCTTAAACCAATTAATTAATTAACAGACTTAAACAACTTCGCTGCTCTTGGACCTCCAAAAACGTTAATGCCAAAGTAAAAATCTGAAAAAATTAGTAACATTATAAAAAATGACTTCAAAATAGAGAACAAATTCCAAGGCAAGAGGATTTACAAATTTTGGAACTATAATGCCTTTATTACCAGAATGTATAAAACACTGATCCTTTTCTAATTCTGCAATACTGCCTCAGACTCCTACAGTTTCAAAACAACTCATCTTTTAGATTTCCATAACATCTCTTTAGAATAAATGTGATTAAATGTGATTTTGTTGCTGTTCATAATAGATTAAAGTCTCTGGCTTTGAAGTTTCAGACCTAATTAAACAGAAATGACTAAGTTCAGGCCCAAGATAAATGTGGTATAGAAAGAGCACAGGTCTCTATCAATGCACACAAACCATATTCTATTAGTATAGTCTTGGGACCTCATTGAATGGACTTTCAAATAAGTAATTAAGCCTCTAATTAAAGGATACAAAACATTTTTCATATAAAGATTAACATAAAATACAGAAAGTGCAATTATCACCGATTATGTTATTTTCTAGGATTCATCTTAAAATTCAGGATAATATTTAATAATAGTATTTCAATTAAATTATGGCATTTGAAAAAGTTTATAGTTCTGGGAAAATATCACATAAACATGCTTTTTTGGTGAAGGAAATGTTGAGAAAACCACAAGAATGAATAATTAATATTGCCTTAACATTTCTAAAATCACAAAAAAAATGATCATCTTTGATAGCCATTTCAATAAGTTTGAAGGGTATGTTCAATAAGTTTGATACAGGGTATGTTACTGTCCACTTAGTAGTAACCAAGACACACAGAATGCACTTGTAACAAATATTCAGATCCAATTATTTTCAGGAGCTAAACATTTCAGAGACTTTAAGATTTGTTTGAGCATACAGTACTGCAATAGTTGGCTACATAAAATAAATAGAAAATCTTCTGAGAGGAAGCTCAATAATCAGAGGCTGTATTGCATTTAAGGATTTAACACTGGCTATATACAGAAGGGAAAGCATTTCAATTAGAAATACTTCACATGTTACCAAGCTCTCTCTTTTAATATGGCAACTTTTAGCAGCTTACCACTGTGACATTTAAAAATCAACAGGAATAGTGCTACTCTGTTATCCTTTGGTTCCCAGTGACAAATAATGCAGTAACAATGACTCTGGTTTCAGTTCCTCATGGATGACATTTATTAGTAGAGAGAAACCTGATGCTTTTTAGCTGAAATTTGGCAGCCCAAGAAGTGCACCAACAGCTCCAAAATATCCCTGTATAATTTTAAAACAATTATTAACACAGTTCAGCTTTTAAATTAGTAGGCAATATTAACAACTACTAGAAACAGATATTTATGTAAAATCTATTTAAGAACATTTATTCAAAAAGTTATCAATTTCTGTGTTGCCAGCTAGTATTTGAAAAATGTGAAATATATATTTTCAAAGTGTGGTTTTTAGACACTGAAAAGCTTCTAGGGCTATTACTACAATTCTGAGCCCTTCTCCCCTTTCCTCAAAACAATTCCTTTTCTTTCACCTGCCAATCTCCCGGGCTACAGCATGCCACTCGGAGCCTGCACAGCAGCAGTTCACCATAGTGAGAGCAGTAACAACCCAACATAAACACAAGAAAATACTCTGAATCTGTTATTAAAATTAATAATACTTCCATTTGATCAGAAACAAAACAATTCAAGGTAGATTTAGTTAATCCAAAATATTATGTGAACTGATATTTTCAGATCAGAATAACCGGATATAATGAACGAATAGAAAAAAAATTTTGAATAACCTCCAAAATTTTAACAGTGGTCCTTCTGGAGGTGTTGTGGTGGTAGGATTAAGGAGAATTTTCATTGTCTAATTATATATTTGTGTATCAGTTCATTTTTAATATTTTTTAGAGAAAAACAAAACAACAAAAGAATACAATTTAACTAAGTATACAGCAGCCCAATATTTACAGAGCTTGTAAGATCTAGTATGGCTCTTTCTTGGTCAGTGAAGTAGGATTTCTTGGTCAGTGAAGTAGGAAACTCCACCTTAATGGGGTGCCTACCAGGTTATAGTAACCCTTATCTCCCCAATTCAAATTGAAGTTAGGGACTCAATATACTATTAGGTAAATCATAGTTTTATACTTATAAGTACACAGTAAGAAGCAATATATGAAACCTGCTTATAAAAGCATGCTATTGGGCAGCCCGGGTGGCTCAACGGTTTAGCGCCTGCCTTTGGCCCAGGGCCTGATCCTAGAGACCCAGGATTGAATCCCACATCAGGCTCCCTGCATGAAGCCTGCTTCTCCCTCTGCCTGTGTCTCTGCCTCTCTCTCTCTCTGTGTCTCTCATGAATAAATAAGTAAAAAAAATAAAAAAATAATAAATAAATAAATAAATAAAAGCATGCTATTAAAATTCGCAAAGCATTATTTTCTTATCATACCTCATGCTCTAGAAACAATGCTTTCAGTTGACCTTTTGACCAATAATCCAGTGCATATGCCAAAAGTTTCATTGAGAGAGTATTGACACGTAAAAAGTTTCCAACAAAGACAACTCGGTTTATTTTCTAAAAAGAAAGAAGAAAATGACATGAAATATAAATTATCAAGTGGATTTTATAATACAGTAGGGTTTAGAAAATCTCTACTCTAAAATGCAAACAACTACTACCTTTTTTGAGTGTCTACTACGTTCCTGGTACATATTATCTCCATAATCCTGAATATTTAAAATTTAGTTCAGGACATGTCACTACACATTTGTCAAAACCCACAGAATGTACACCAAGAGTGAACCCAGTGTAAAGTAAGGGCTTTGGGTGATAATAATGTGTCACTGCAAGTTCAATGATTATAACAAATGTACCAATCTCATGATGGATGTTGACAGTGGGGAAGGCTGTACAGCTGTAGGGTTCGAGGGTATATGGGAACTTTCTACCCGTATTTTTCTACTCAATTTTGCTGTGAACCTAAAACCTCTCTAAAAAATATAGTCTATTTTAAAAAAGCAAAATTCTGGAAAGATCCTAGTAAATGATTTTAGATGACACTTGATTTTGAAGATGACCAATAAATAATCTATCTATTAAGAAAGTAATTTGGAGAAATATTATTGAGATTAAAACCAAGGAAAAGTATTTTAAATGGGTTTAGGATTACTAACACTGTAAAGTTGAGGCTTCCAGCATCTCTGGCGTCAGCCTAACCCATCAAGTCACCCTCTGCTAAGAAGATTCCACTCATTAATTTGGTTCTGTAGAGAACCTTGAAGGAAATTTTTTATGGAAGAACTGGTGTTTCAAATTCCAGGAAACTTTTCCACTCTCACTGTATACTGAACTTCTGAATATACATTTTTGCACACTGAGTTTGGATAGTGTAAACAGTGGCCTTAATTATTGCTAAATCAAGTGGCCAGTGAAAATGTAGATCTACAGGGCTAAGAAAAAAGGTCCTGGATTATTGTTAGCCAATAAAAGTGAAATACTCCTTAAAACGTAGGTTAAGACATCCGTTAGTGGCTCCATCAACCAACTTACTACACTGTCACTGAGAAACAACATATTGGATTTAAACAGAATAATTCAAAGGATTAATTTGGGTTTTTTCACAATTGTTCTCTGCTGAAGCTTTTTTCCTCAAATATCTGCATGCATGATTATCTCACCTCTTTCCAGTATCTATCCAAGGGTCACATTTTCAATAAGCCTTCCTTTAATCACTCAATTACTCAGCAATTTGTTTTCTGCCGATGTACTCTCAATTTTCTTTGATTTTCTTTTTTAAGAAATACCACTTATTACCCTATACATACTAAAAATTTATTAAAATACTAGAATGGATGCAATCTCCACAAAGTCAGGGATCTTTGTTCTCTTCACTAGTGTACAAAGTGCCTAGAACAATGCCTGGCACATGGTTCTCTGTAAATACTTAATGAATAAATGAACAGATGAAGGATTCCCTCAAAAAAGCAAAATTCCCAATTCATTTAAGGTATTTGATATTTACAAATATCAAATTAAAATTAAATGGGCAAATACATCTATTACATGAGGGCAGATTATATATACAATCTCCTTCAAATAAAAATAACCCAACAATGAGGGTGAACACAGGAGTACTTGCTTTTCCTAAGTATACATCATTCAAATTTCTTGTGAAGAACAAATCTCAATGCCTTCATAGCCCTGTACAATGCTGCTTGATCCATATGCAACAAGGCAGCACTGTAAAGAAGCCGAAGGCAATAAGAAAACTTCTAAGCACTTGCTAATCAAATATAACATTAATAGCAAAAAATACCCCTTTCAAAAATTAGTTACCTCAAAAATGTCCTATGTTTGGAAAAAATTTTCTATCTTCAGGAGATTTAGGTTGTGTATTTCTGAAAAAGTTTGTAGATAAATTTGAAATGTAAATATCTCTTTGTTCTACTACCAACTTGAATAATCGGCTACTTTCTTTAAAGGTAACATAATTTGGTACACGTGGTATATACAGTTAATGAACCTTGGGATTTAATAGAGGAGATCTCAATCCTACAGGTCTCCTTAAGGAACACAAAGAAGCCCTGCTATATATACATAAAACTCCAATCTATATTTTTCATATAGTTAAATTTTTTTACCTCATTAACAGCACACATTCGTGCCACAGAACCAATGTTATTGGTGATAGTAACTAAAGTAGCTCTTGCTAGATCTTCTTTACTGACAGTTTCTCGCTTCTCCTTATAAATCATATTACCAAAACTGCAGAGAAATGAAAAACAAACAAAATTCTGTTGATAATAAGCAACATTTCACACATTTTATCCTACAGATAAATTTATACAGGTATAAAATACGGTATAAACAAGGTTACTGACTCACTGAACTACACACATGGCAGAATACTGGAAATCACCATGAAACTCTGATAAATCCACAGAATAAAATACCAAGAGAGTGTTAATAGGGGAGGGAAGGAAGGAAGGGGAGAGAAAAAGGAAGGGGGACAAAGGGGAGAGAGAGAGAGAGAGAGAGAGGAAGGGGAGAAAGAGAGAGAAGGGGGGACGGAGGCTGGCAGATAGACTAGGATATGTTGCTTGTTGATGAGTACACAGAGTAAGTAGTATGCTGTATAATGGTAGATATATTTTACCTTCTGAAAGTTACCTTCTGTATAAGAGGGTGAGAAGGATATATATTTTTATTTGCATAAAGAAATATTGAAAGGATACTCAAGAATTAATAAAATGGTTTCCTACAGGGTGTACCTGGGAAGACTTAACGTGTATCTTATTTTTAAATTACATGAATGTTCAAAACTTGGAACCTAAGCCAAGTAGGAGTAAGCCCCCTTGTAGCTTCTTGATACGTTGCTTTCTAAAAACTAAATAAGCAACTTTAATTACAACATAAATATTAAACTCACCTAGACGCTACAGCCCAACCCGGCAGACCAAATCTTTCATAATCTCCCCCGTAAATATCACGGACCAGTTTGTCAGCTTGGGTGCTGTCACCTTTGGATGCCATTTCAAGAGCCTCTTCAAAACTTTCACAGCCAGTCAATAAACAGCATAAACCCAGAAATGTACCCCCTCCAAGGCTAAAGAAAATAAAGAAAACTGGGTAAGTTATATTTATAAAGTATTCTTTCTCCAAAATTAAAAGGAGTATTCATGTTATCGATATGCACAAAGAAAGAACACATTGCTAATGCCAAGTGCTGAAATATCAGCATAATGAAGGTAAGAAAAATGCCAAACCAAACTTGACAGATGAAAAAATAAACCAAAGGGGGGAAAATCAGTTGGTAGAAGCAACATGAAGGCTGGAGGGATGTTTTATATCTTCTATTATCTTTACCCAATTCCTTACACTTTATAATTGCTAAAAACAAATGCTTTATGTGTGGGGATGGGGAGGGAAAGCAGTTTAAGTGTTAAAAAAAAAAGTAGTATCATATGAATTAAAAGGAGAAAACTTATAACTCTAAATGGTTCCCAGGAAAATGATTTAGTGAAAGGCCTATTTACTTGGTCTGACAAGGCTGAAATCAATTCAATGTGACACATTAGCATTTTAGCGTGACCCAAAAATGAATATGGTGAGAAAATTTGTCAGGTTGGTCAATATGTTAAGGATAAAAATTTACTTGGATATGCTGATAAAATGAAACCATGTCTCTCTAATCCCTAGAATCAAAACCTTTGCTCCCAGTCTCACCTAAATTTCTATTTTTTTCCTTTTTTTTTTTCATTGAAGTTCGATTTGCCAACATACAGTATAACACCAAGTGCTCAGGTGTCCTCCTCAGTGCCCATCACCCAGGTGCCCCATCCACCCGCCTGCCTCCCCTTCCACTACCACCCTTTGTTCAGTTTCCCAGAGTTAGTAGTCTCTCATGTTTTGTCACCCTCTCTAAGTTTTCCCATTCATTTTCCCTCCTTTCACCTAAATTTCTAACAAACTCTATCCCTGGAATTTAGTTAACGGACTCAATTTCTTTTAGAATTGATTGAAGTAGGTAATACTTCCCTGTAATTCTATGGTATAGAGAGTTAACAATGGAAGCAGATTTTTAGAAACCACAGAGATAAAATACTAAAGGGCGCCTGGGGGGCAGCCTGGGTGGCTCAGCGGTTTAGCGCTGCCTTCAACCCAGGGTATGATCCTAGAGGCCCGGGATCGAGTCCCACATCGGGCTCCCTGCATGGAGCCTGCTTCTCCCTCTGCCTGTGTCTCTGCCTCTCTCTCTCTCTCTCTCTGTGTCTCTCATGAATAAATAAAATCTTTATAAATAAATAAATAAATAGATAGATAGATAGATAGATAGATAGAGGGAGCCTGGGTGGCTCAGTCAGCTGAGTGTCTGCCTTGTGTTTGGGTCATGATCCCAGAGTCCTGAGATCAAGCCCTGCATCAGGCTCCCTGCTCAGTGAAGAGCCTGCTTCTCGTTCTCCCTCTACTGCTCCCTGTGCTTATGCTCAATCTCTGTCAAATACATTAAAAAATAAAAATATCTTTAAAAAAATACTTAAGTATCATTTAGGGGTGCCTGGCTGGCTCAGTCAGTGGAGAATGCAACTCTGCATCTCAAGGTCATGAGTCTGAGCCCCACATGGGGGTAGAGTTTACTTAGATAAAAAAAAAATTATCACTTTAATAAGAGTACTACTTTAAAATGGAAATGAGTTTTTCTTCATAAACCCGCAAGTTTTCCTCAAACAGGAGTCTCTACCCTCCTTAAAAGCTGATAAAGTAGGGATCCCTGGGTGGCGCAGCGGTTTGGCGCTTGCCTTTGGCCCAGGACGCGATCCTGGAGACCCGGGATCGAATCCCACGTCAGGCTCCCGGTGCATGGAACCTGCTTCTCCTTCTGCCTATGTCTCTGCCTCTCTCTCTCTCACTGTGTGACTATCATAAATAAATAAAAAATTAAAAAAAATTAAAAAAAAAAAGCTGATAAAGTATATATCAGAATCATAAGGACAATTTTAAATTTCATTTTACAATAATATTTCAGGCATTATAGAAATTAAAGAAATACCTTATGGGATATTTAGAACATTGTTATCCGATAAAGAGCTCATGTTAAATTTGTCCTCTAAGAATTATTACAAGAGCATGTGGATGGCTCAGTTGGTTGAGCATCTGATTCTTGATTTTGGCTCAGGTCACGATCTTAGGATCATGAGACTGAACTCTGCACGGATCTCTGTGCTTAGAGGGGAGTCTACTTGAGATTCTCTCTCTCCCTCTGCCTCTCCCCTCATGCTCTCTCTTGCTTTCTCAAATAAATGAAATAAATCTTGAAAAAAAATTATTACAATGTTATCCGATACCACACAAATATGAATCTGATCCAACCATCATGCAAGCTGACCAGTGGCAAATTTCAGGCTTAAATATGTTATAAAACAGTGAAAAACAACAAGAATGCTTTGGCAAATACAAGTCATTAGAATCATTCCAGATAAGAACTCCCTCTTACAATTATGGAAATTTTGATGCCAACTGATGTTAAGCAAATGTAAATATGTAATGATTTTAGTTTGAATCTTTATACACATACCTTATAAAACAATATTATTTGCAACACTTATACCTACACATCTACATTTTTTGCTACTGCACAAATGCATGTTAGAGGCTAGCATTAAGATGATTTTACAACTTCTGTGTATAAAACAACATGAATGCTGCAATAAGTACAAAAAGGTCACTACCTTGTCCCGGTTACTCGTTTATAGTTGTCTTTGGAATGGACTGCTAAAATACTGACTCCTGAACCAATGTTCACTATCAGCAGTGGATAGGGATCATCCAGGTTAAAAGGCATCTTTTGGCATCGCTCAGGTTCTGAGGCATTAGCAAAATAATAGCACTCTGCTTGTCCATTGAAACTGACAGAATCTATATACAGCAAGCCCTTTACAAGGCAGTCAAGTTCATCCAGTTTGTGCAGGTGGAGGTTTCCAATCTATAAACAAACAAAACAAAACACCATAGAATTTTGTAAAGTGAAAAAGGGACAGTATTCAAAATACTTGGCTCAAATGCACTGTATGTTTAATTTTCATGTACTTTATAAAACTTGAAAATCATCTATGACCCATACATTTTCACTTGTTTTGTTTCGTCTCATTATCTCTTAGTCCAATGGTTCTCAGTGATGGTGGTATTACCCTTTGGATGCATTCTGGAAATTTGTGGGGATATTTCAGTTTTTACAAAGATGGAGAGGAGGAGAGGAGCAAACTAACATTTAGTGGGCAAGGACTTCTTATGTTCAAACCATTCAATAAATTGAATGCAAATCAGTATTATCCATTGAAAGAAAAAAATGAATAACAATTTAGACTTTTAAACTATCTCAAAGTTTAAGGGGCTCACTTATGTGAGCCATATAAGTGATCACTTACATTTCTATTAACAGACTTTTCTTATGTGAATTTAAGAAATTAAATGGTTTATGCATGTTTTCAAAGAAAACAAATTTCAGTAGCCCCAAATGCTAACTTTCTTTTATTCAAACGAAAGGACTAATGAAGAATGAAGAAGCTTGGCAAACCCCCACTAGTATATAATCAATGTTACATAGTCCTCTTGCCATATCCAAATGACCTCCTTTGAGATAGGATCATAGTAAGGCTGGTGGATAAAACCAGAAAAAAGGGAAAACAGGGACTCTCATTCAGATGTCTACTAAATCAAAAGACACTGGCCTCAGCTGTTTTTGTTTTTAGTGAAGAGGCAGGGGCAGGGAAAGAGATGGCCCTGGGAGAGAGGACTGTATGGATAATACACAAAAGCAATGCAAACACATGTCAATAATAGTGATTGTAATTCAAACCCCACTTATATTTGGGTTTGTACACTGCCAAATTCATTGAAATCCCCTTTTATTGTAGCTTTATAGCAGTCCCTAAACTTGGCAAGTTTTACCAAGTATTATGTACAATAAGCCCAAATCTGGGCAATTTTTTACTCAGTCTATAAAGGTGTTTAAGTGCCCCAAATGAAAAGCTAGTCATGAATACAAACTTCCTCTGTATCCAGCAGGGGGAACTAATCTAGGCAACATGCTAGATGGGAACCTAGCCTCTTATTTTAAAAATAAGGAGGGGACACCTGGGTGGCAGTTGGTTTAAAGTCCAACTCTTAGTTTTGGCTCAGGTCACGCATGATCTCAGGGTTGTGAGACTGAATCCCATGATGGACTAGGCCCACAGTGAGTTGTCTGCTAGTCCCTCTCCCTCTGTCATTCCTCCCACTCCTATGCACATACTCTCTCTCTCAAATAAATAAATCTTAAAAAAAAAAAAAAAAAAGAATGAGCATCAATTTTTGGCTTTGAGTAAGATACCTACTGTGCGAAAATCTTCTTCAAACTTGTAAGCACCACCTCCTGTAGCACATAGCACCGTGTGTAATGTTGAGAAGTTTTTATCTCTTCCCATCTGGATAAAAGTAGGCAGGTCGTGGGTTGGAAATCTGATAAAGTGCAAGTTTCCTCTTCGGCCAAAAAGTGTCAAATCCTTCAGTTCAAGGTGTACATCCCGAATACCAGTGGATCCATATGCTACATTAGAAGTCAAATATTTCCGGATACTTTTTAAGCTCTCAACTTCTTCTTGTTCTTCCTCTGCTGTGATATCAATAGGTTCAAAATATGAGAGCTTTACTAGAGTCCCCCCAATGTCCATGCCAAACCATGGGAAAGCTGTGGATTAAAAAAACAAAAACAAAAAACATTGTATATATCAACTTTAGAAATGCAAATTAGGTACTAGTTAATTAGCCACAAACTTCATATATGCTGAATCATGCAGTCAATAACATTCTGGGGGTAAGATGCTTCTTCTATGTGCAACTCAACCTTTTCCCTTCGAAGTATTACTTTAACATTTTCTAGAAACCTGTAACGTAAGATGCTTAGAGCTCGCCCAGGGCCTTTCAATTCCTGCTCAGATAGGTATTCCTTTTCACCCTACTAAATACTCATCATATGCCCCAGGGGAATCAGGAAAAATTTGGACCAATAATTCGTCCAAATTTGGACCTGTTTTAATAAATAGGTCATTACCTAGGGCTTGATAATATTTCTAATAAGATTTTAATGTAATAAAATTGGCCTATAATTACTTCAAGTAACCTAAGGGAAAAAGTACCTCCTTAAAAAGAACTTATTCTTTGCTCATTAAATGTTATGTTTCTTTGGTACATCTGGTTAATAAAATTAGCTGTTAATAATGTTGAAGAGAAGTCTATTGGGCACATTTGGGCAGGGAGTTATATCATTTGGGTTTGGGACTTGCTGTTCTTTCGCCAACTGGACTTATATGACTTTGGAAAAACCATTAACTTCTCTGAATCCTAGTTTGTTCCAGGTCTGTTTCAATTCTCTGAGATCTTAAACAAAATGACAGAGACTCAAGAATAATTTAATACTTAATACAAAATACTCTAATACATACATTACAAAAAAACCTCAGAACAAAATATACCTCACAGTTTTTTATGTATAAGCTGTCATGGGAAACTAGTTCCCTCCAAAATCTGTTTCTTAAATATTAGTATTTTATTTGATATTAATATTAGTATTTTATTTGATATATGTGAGTATTAGAAACCAGTAACATACAATTCAACAAGAAAGGATTCTATACATTTCTCCATTTCAGAATTTACACTTACTGAAATCAGTACAGTAAATAATATTAAATGAGGAAGGAGTAATTCTAATTATTTTCTTCTGGAGAAATAGTTCATTTTTTTTTTAAAGCTCATTTATTTTTTGTATTTGAAACCCAAGTTTAGACATTAAAGACAGTGTTAAAAAGGAAACTTCTTTAAAAAATAGTAAAATGACTTAAGACTATAATCTGGGGGGTCAGTAAGACCCCAACAGCCATAACATTTGTGTCACCTAAAGATTTTTATAAGCAACTAAAATATAAAAGAAATGGACTAAATTTTCTCAATTTTCAAATCCCTAGTAGCAAGCAGCAATACTAAAATTTACAGACAAGAAATTCACAGCAACTGTTTGCTTGGACAACACACTGAAAGAAAAGACAATACAGGGTAGTTCTACTGATCCAGTAAGTCAGAGATGGCTTCAGAATTTTCCCAATATGCTGAACAGGTAGATAATTAGAGGACACTTTTCAGTGGACATTACATAAAACATAGGAATGATTCTGATATAACCAAAATGATTTATTTTTTAAAAATTTGAGAGTGGGGAGAGAGAGGGGAGGGTGTCTGAGCGGGGAAGGACAGAGGGAGAATGAGAAGCAGACAGAGAGCCTGACTCTGCTGGATCCCAGGACCTTGAATGATCTGACCCAAAGGCAGATACTTAAGTGACTGAGCCACCCAGGGACCTGATTTCTCTTATTTGATCATGTTTGATTCTAGATTCATGGGGGTGGGTGTACAAGTCACTGTTGCCACATAAAATGCATTCTGGGATAGAAAAATTTCTACAAGGGAAGATTTACTAAGCTAAAAACCTTTATTTTCCAAAGTTAAAAATACTTTAGAAATTAAGTTTATAGTTTTACTACATATGTGTCAGGTGTCAAAATACATACAAATAAAAAGATTACTTCAGAGCAAACTACAATGCTGAAAAATTACCAGGCTCAAGGATCATGTTATCTTTATTTTCAGTCAGAAGTCCCTGTCTGCTCCCAGGTTTATAAATATTTGAAAACTGCCATTCTTGAAAGAAAAACCCAATTAATATTTATGTGAAGAACTTTTAATTCTTACACGAAACCATAAATTAAGTTTTGAAAAGACCTTACTGCCTAGGAAGATATTTGAAGTTTATAGATGAAATACTGGAGAGTAAGAAATTTTCTACTTTTCTAAAGCTATGTAGGAGTACCACACTTTTTCATCCCAAGGGGTCAATGGCCAATTCCAAAATACCTAACAGCGGAGTAGGCAGTAGAAAAAAGGCTCACTGAATGAAATCGCTTGTGAAACCTAGGGTGCACGAAAAGTGTTAACTAGTTCTTTCCCAAAGAAAACTACTGTTTAAGTATCATCATTAAAATGATAAAAACAAAAATCTTCTACTGTTTATTTACATATATATCTAATTAATTAATTAATTAATTAATTAATGAGAGAGGCAGAGGGAGAAGCAGGCTCCATGCAGGGAGCCCTGGTTTCCAGGATTAACGCCCTGGGCCGGAGGCAGGCGCTCAACCGCTGAGCCACCCAGGGATCCCCCTGGTGGCTTGTTTTAAAAAGCTTTTGTTGATATTATTTGCATGGAACAACCAATCTTGTAGCTGAAAAACTCCACACAGAAACCAAAAAAACTTGTTTACAAAGTTATGTCTTATTGTTATAGTATATCAATCTGCCATTTCTTTTAAATTACATTAATTACTGAAAAATATTATAAGATATGTACGACATGCAACATATAAAGAATAACAACCACCAGGGATGCCTGAGTGGCTCAATCGGTTAACCGTCCAACTTTTGGTTTCAGCTCAGGTCATGAGATCAAACCCTGCCTTGGGCTCTGTGCTCAGTGGGAAGTCTGTTGAAGATGGTCTCTCACTCTAAAATAAATAAATCTTAAAAAAAAAAAAAAAAAAAAGAATAGCCAACAACCACCACAAACTCATAGTATTACCATTCAATTTTAAATCTTTGAGTGACTCACTTTTTTACACTGGACTAGAGAAACAGAATGTTTTATGAAATAACTGTAAATTAAGTTGGAAAAACTGTATAATATCTTTAAGGGTTATTGCCTACAGAGGTTGTTTTTTAAAATTAAGAATGCAAAAACCCCAAGAATCATCTCACATCTAGCCTATGAGATATGTCTGTTCTTAAGGGAAGTGTAACTAGAGACGCTCTATTGTAGACAATGAATTTCTCAGTAATCATGTGCAAACTAGAACACTGCATGTCCTTTCTATTTCTTAGTAAGTCTCAATTATGACAATTTTCTTCTTAAAATTAGGAAGGACTGGAAGAACTCCGCCTTGCCAGTGACTCTAAAGAAAAAAAGTTGGTAACAGCCATCTTTGGTATAGTGAACCTTTAACTCAGCAGAGTTCTGGAATTCATTCCCTTATGCCAAAGAGGGGAAAAAAAAAATCACATTAAAAAAGTATGGAAGCCCTCTGCCCCAGGAGCCATGGAGGAGCAATGCTACCATAGCAATGCTATGGCTCTATGCTACCCTATGGCTGTGGGCCTCAATAAGGGCCACAAGGTGAGTAACAGTGGAAGCAAGCCCAGGTATAGCTGCTGCTGCCACGGTCACCTCACCAAACACACCAAGTTTGTGCAGGGTATGATCCCAGAAGTATGCTGCTTCATCTCATACGCCCCATATGAACAGCATGAGTGGCACATGCAAGATCTCTAAGGACAAGTGTCCCCTCAAGTTCATCAAAAAAAGTGTGGGGACTTACAACCGTGCCAAAAGGAAAAGAGGAAAAGAGCAAAGTCCTGGAAGCCACGAGGAAAGCAGTAGCCAAGAAGGACTGAACCCCCTTCCCTCTGTATATAATACAGCCTCTTTGGAACTTGAAAAAGAAATTAAAAATTTTTAGGTAATCTCTACACCCAACAAGGGACTCAAACTCACAACCCCAAGATCAAGAGTCCCAAGCTCTAATGACTGAGCCAGTGAGGTGTGTCCTACAGAAAACACAAATTCTTAATAATGATCCACTCCTATCATTTAGTAAGTGGTATAATTACTGATCTTTACATTTTCCAGTACATTAAAAAAAAAAAACCCACAACTTTTTTTTGTCACTGACCAAAATAGGAGGGGAAAGGGGCATGGAGGTCAAACTTTGTTTGCAATTCCAAGTATGAGGCAAATATAAGTACAACCACAGGTCCACTAATAGCTCATGAGGTAAGAAAAATATCTGTTTCCTAAAAAATCAGGGAAGTATTTATACCTATAGCTTTGTTGCTTCTAGCCAAGAGATAGGTTAAAAGTAGGTTACCAGTGTGTGAACAAGCTACTTACTGCATATAACCTAAACATTTTTTTTCTTTGATAATAAAACTCTCCATTGCCAAGGTGAAAATAATGAATGAAAATACACATTTAAGGGGATCCTTGGGTGGCTCAGCGGTTTAGTGCCTGCCTTGGGCCCAGGGCGTGATTCTGGAGTCTGAGATGGAGTCCCACATCAGGCTCCCTGCATGGAACCTGCTTCTCCCTCTGCCTGTGTCTCTGCCTCTCTTTCTATGTGTGGCTCTCATGAATAAATAAAATCTTAAAAAAAAAAAAAAAGAAAAAAACAAAACAAAACCAGAATACACATTAAAAAAAAAAACCACATTCCATAAATCATAAATGCAAATGAGTATTTTGATGATGGCAAATATGTGCTGCCCTCTCAAGACTTTCCTACAATATATCTGGCCTTCAAAAAATAACTATTTTTCAGCTGAGCCTAAAAGAGCTGCCATTAGCCATCAGTAACAAAAATATCCAGAACTATCGTAAGCATAAGGTGCTACATCAAGAATTATCTCTCTTACAAGACAGACTGTATATGAAGAGACCTGCCATGTCCAATCCCCTTGATATCTAGCCATGAGGCAGACTGTTGATTTCTAACAAGATGTGTTATAAGAGTTTGGTGTCTTGCTAGGTGTTGTAAAGGGGTGGGGGAGAAATATTAAAGAACTGTTTAACTGTTAATGGCTCCATGTAGATTTCAGCCCAAAGGGATCCTTTGGGACCTTTTGATGGGAAAGGGACCAAATGATGAAAATGTTCAAAACATTAGTGGATTATTTTAAAAAGCAAAATTCTAAAATGGGCATGTGTGCAGGTAAATTCTGGGTATGCTTGATGTTCTTGGATAAAAAAGACATGCATTTTGCTTTTCCCGATAATCATTCCAAATAAAAATGTTGGTATTTTGAAACAGACTAAAAAAATAACTACTTTTACATCTTTAGTATCATAATTCCTTAGAAAAGCATCAGGTAAATATTTTTCCCCCCTTTGGTAATTTAGGTACATCAAAGGAAACATTAGAAATTATCATATTCGATTGTACCTTATCTCATCATCTACTGGAAGGGATTTTTTTTTTTTTTTAAAGTAGGCTCCACATGGGGCTTGAACTCACCACGTTGAGATCAAGACCTGAGCTGAGATCAAGAGTCAGATGTTTAAGGAACGAACGGAGCCACCCAGGCGTCCCTGGAAGTGATCATTCTTAAGTAATGATTCAATTTACAAACAGGCCAATCAAATTATATAGAAGCAAACCACACACATATGCCATATACTTTTCTCTGCTCTTGACAAAAGCTTCAGGCAACAGCTTGGGTTAGCAAAGCAGAGACTCAAAAATCTTTATCTTCTCAAATTAAAAAAATGTATCTTTTATTATCATCTTGTTAATTAGGCTACAAGCCACTAAGGTAAGCAAAACAAATGCCGAACATACCTTAAGACATCCTGTCAGTCGAGGTACAAGAGGAACTCATGGCTGTTTGGTTTTTTAATATCTAATATTGAAGCAGTGTGAAAAATTTAAGGTAAAGCAAACACTGCCATTTTGCAGGTTTCCATATTTTCACTAGGAAAAGTTTTTCATTAGGTTAATGTTTGACTTTATCCCTCCCTTGGAGTTGAATTAACACATATTTCAAATGTTAATCTTTTACTATATAATCTGGCAGATGAAACTAATTCCTTTTCTTATTTTCTGGTTAAGTACACGCATCTGATTTATAACCTTGCAATACATTAAGTGATGTACCTAAAAGCAATGTTTTCGGACACTTAGAAATGTGAATGTAAGAATGTGAAGCCAAAGCCACTTGTTTAACGCTGCAATGCATGTGAAGATAGTGCTTTAAACATATGAAGGGCTCACTAAATCTATAATTATTAAAATAAATAAATTTATAATTATTAGAAAAACCCCTATACGAGTACTTAAAAGCAACAAAAATGTATCTTTAGCTAATCTGAGTGTTCATGTTCCTAAGAACATTAGAGATAACAGTTGCTGGTTACATATATTTATAATCCATAATTGAAATACTTTCCTTCACACAGAAAAACAAGATGTTCTTTACTTTTCCTGTAAAGAACTGAGGAAGCAGTAACGTCATCTTCTACACAAAAGAAACAGGAAATGTTACGTTAGACTTCTAAATCATATTAACTGACTAGTATTTCAGTATGACTCTTTCATCATTAATGGTTTCATAATGTAGTAATACGTAACTTTAAAAAAACAGGTGTTCTTTTCTCAACCTAAAGTTTATTTTATAAACCTTTATATCTTTGCTGAAGCACCTTTGACAGAGGTGGCATTCATACCTGATAACAAATCTAACAAACCAATTATCATGGCGAAAAGAATGTAACTGTAAGAGTGGGCGTATGAGCTTGTCATTGTTCAACTTATTTTACTAAATGGAAGTTCTTTTTTTTTTTTAATTTAATTTTATTTTTTAATTTGTGATAGTCACAGAGAGACAGAGAGAGAGAGAGAGACGCAGAGACACAGGCAGAGGGAGAAGCAGGCTCCATGCACCGGGAGCCCGACGTGGGATTCGATCCCGGGTCTCCAGGATCGCGCCCTGGGCCAAAGGCAGGCACCAAACCACTGCGCCACCCAGGGATCCCCTAAATGGAAGTTCTAAGACAAGCAGGGAAAATGTTAGTTAAGATGTCCAAGTGTTCTGTATTACTGCATCTGTTCAAGATCAGTTTAATTTAGCAACTGTAAAGAAAACTAGAAGTGGTTCTATATTCCTGTCACCTAAGCCTTCACGTCACTATTTTATAGACTCCTTGAACAAGAACTCTTTCACTATCCTAAGAAATCATCATTAAGGGGATCCCTGGGTGGCGCAGCGGTTTGGCGCCTGCCTTTGGCCCAGGGCGCGATCCTGGAGACCCGGGATCGAATCCCACATCGGGCTCCCGGTGCATGGAGCCTGCTTGTGTCTCTGCCTCTCTCTCTCTCTCTCTCTCTCTCTCTCTCTCTCTCTCTCTGTGACTATCATATAAAAAAAAAAAAAACAAAAAAAAAACAAAAAAAAACAAAAAAGAAATCATCATTAAAGTACGTATCTCTTAAGCAGGCAGATAAAACCACCAGATCAGAAAGGTTTCTCTATTTCGACTAAATTGTACCCCCACGGGTGCAGAAAAAAGAACACTGGACACTCAGGGAACCTCATCAGCACAGAGGTGGTTGGTATAGCCTTGAAAAGTCACTCCGGGGCTAAATAAATCCCATTTCCTCATCTGTAAAATCAAGACCAAATCATCTCACATTTAAATAACAATGAGTAGTTTTTAGAGTGCTTTGGTAGGCTGCCTTTCTGGTGAAGTTACAAGAACTTTGACCGTCCAGAAGGGAAGGTGTCCATGCTCCCTTGTGCAGATTTCTTAGATCTGTAAGATCACATGAGACAGTAAAGACCGTAAAATACCAATACGACCCTAAGATAAGCATACATCCCCTAGTTCCTTTGGGAGAATGTACTTAGAAAGTCCGAAAATCGTGATGAGTGATTAAATAAGCTACTTACAGGAGTAAAAGGTCTTTAAAAGCCTAAAAATAAAAAGGAAATGAAAGTTGATTTGCTCTTAAAACATGTGACGAATATTTCATTAAACAGTACGTACATATACAGTCGTAGAAAAATCTCTAAGAGTATCCACCAAAATATTAATAGAGGTTAGCTCTGAGTGGCGGGAATACCCGTGATTTTTATCTTCCTTTTGGTTTATGTTTTTTTTTTTAAATTTTGTTTATTATTTTTTTTAAAGCCAACACGATCTAGCTGTCATTCTAAACAAAAACAAGCCACGGCAATTACCCACTGGTAGGTGACCGGCGTGTTTTCAAAAGATTCTAATTGTTAACAACAGTGACAACTCCCAGGAACACACCGGGATTTCAAGGACACAAGCGAGAAGCCCAGAAATCAGTAGAGGAAAAAAGAAAACAACAACAACAACAACAACAACAAACAGTGGTAAATGCCCCCGCGCAAATGAGGCCCGTTTCCAACCTGGTTTCAGGGGGGCAGAGGGGGAGTGGACTGGCAGGTCCAGCACGCCTGGCGAAAGCCGAACGAAAAATCCCCGTGAGCGCGCCCCAGAACTCGGGGAGGACGCAAAGCGCCGGGGGCGGCGGGGGCCGCCGGGGGCGGCGGGGGCCTCCGGGCTGCACAGGGGCCTCGGTGCCCGCGCCCCCACCCCGAGCCGCAGGCCGGGGACCAGGCCGCTCCACTGAGGCGCCTCCGCCCGGGCCCCAGAGCTCTCCCAACCCGGCGGGCCCACGCCCCATCTTACAGGGTTTCTTGGCATCTTTAATCTTCATGGCGTCTGCGGAAGCAACCAGGGGCAGCCTCGGTCCGGGGCACGCAGGGCAGCGGCGGCGACTCCGGAGGTGCCTGGGCCGCGCGGGAAGGCCCGGCCGGTTCCTCCCCTTAGGCCCGGCGGGGCGGGCCTAGGGCGGGGCGGCGGCGCCTGAGGCGAGGCCCGGCCCAGGGGGCGGCCTCCCCACCCCCGCGAGGGTGTGCCGGGACCGAGCGAGCTGGGGAAGGCCGCCGGCCTCGCCGCTCCGGGGCCCCCCCCGCGGCCGCTCCGAACAAAAGGCCCCGGTCCCCCGAGCCGCCGCCGCCGCCGCCGCCACTGAGAAGTAGCCCGCCCAGGCCGGGAGCCCACGTGACGCGAGCTCCCCCCTCTCTCCGCTCGCCGCGGGCTGCTGGGGATTGTAGTTCTCCGGGTCCTGACGCCGCGGTCTTGGCCGGCGGCTGTGGGCTCGGACTACAAAGCCCAGGATGCGTCGCGGTCCCTCCTCTGAGGCCCCTCCGCTTCCGGAGATCGCCTCAGCGTGGTCCCAGAGAGAAGAGGGAAGGGCCTCAGTCACGCCAGCGGCGGGGCGACCAATGGTGGCCGAGGCGGGCGGGCGTGCGTGCGGTAGGAGTCGGGCTCAGGAGAAGGGCAGGGCCGTCGGCGCGGGGACCGTCCTGACTGTTGTGTGGGTCGCGGACTTCCCCCGCCGCGGAAAACCTGGCGGCGGCCTCGTGGAGGGCGCCGAGGGCAGGGCTGTGCGCCGGAGTTGAGGCCGGCCCTTGAGCGCCTGTGTGAATCCGGGTCCTGCGCGGCGGGGCCCCCCGGCTTGGTGGAGGCGCCTCGAAAGTCGTTGAAGTTGGGGTAATGATAATAATGGCAGTGGGAACAGTAGCCAACGTGTATCGGAAGTCGCCATGGCCTAGGCACCCTGCTAAGCACATTTTACGGAATTAGTTCAACTGACCGACCTCGTAAACTGCCTTACAATCGTCATCATTCATCTTGAAGATGAGGTGGGAGCGGAGAAGTAAAAAAAAAAAAACAAAAAAAAAACCTGCGGGGCGCTCGCCCTTTGCCACAGTTCCGGCCTTCCAAAGGGGAAAGTTTCCAGGGAAGAAAATTAGACGCTCCAGTTCTCACAGCAAAGACCCCCTTTCCCCAGGCCTCCTAGATTCTGAACTCCCCTCCCCTCCCCTTCCCTTCCCAGGATTTATACATTTATTCGTGAGAGACACGCACGGAGAGGCAGAGACACAGGCAGAGGGAGAAGCCTGCGGCCGGCCTGGGTGCCAGGGCCCCAGGGCCCCAGGGCCCCGGGGTCACGCCCTGAAGGCGGCCGCTCAGCCGCTGAGCCACGCAGGTGCCCCACGCTGAGTTTTCAAGCTGGAACAAGAAGCGATGGCATTGCGGACCTCCTCCTGGCCTCTGCTCCACATTTGTCCCCCAGTAAGTTGACCAGGAATTCAGTGACTCTGGCCACCATTCAGATAGTTTGAGAATTGGCCAAGGACGATTGAGCGTTAGTGCCCCTGCCTTGTGGAGGACGAGACAAGGATTGGGAATATGGCCAGGAAGGGACACAAACTACCAGGGCGCGGGTACTGAGAGCTGGCACTTTGCAAGGTGCTTTCCTTAACTTTTGGATTGAATCCCCACAACCACTCTGAAGTACAATGATTAAGAACTCCAAATTTGAATTTACATCTTGGTCCTGTAACTTGTCAATACGTTTGGGCAAATGACTTCATCTCTCTGATTCTCATTGGAAATAATAGTGCCTACATTCCATGGGATTGGGATAGGGATTAGATGAGAGCCGGGGTATAAAGTGGTTAACTCATTACGTGTTTTATATATATATATATATTCTGCTTCATTCTTTAAGTTAGAGCAAATGATGATCCTGGAGTGAAAGGTCTCCCAACCAAGGTAGTGATGGAGGAGGAGGGCCTTGAACAAAGATGATTGTGGTGGTGATGATGGTTTGCCATTTATTCCAGGTAAAGGAATTGGAAGAGGAGGAACAACTCCTTTGGGTAGAGGTGGCACTGGTAGAGACAATGGTGGGCATGGCCCTCTATCTGCCTGTAGATGATCAGTAAGTGATGACTATGTCTATTATTGCTATTGTTTTCCTAATTATAAATATGAAGAAAGGTTATCCGTGCTGTTTGGCTAAGGTAATTATTTAGGATTGGACCTCAGGTCTGATTGGTACTTTGTGGTTCCTTATTTTGATTATTTTGACCCCAAGTTCCACATTTGTTGTTTAGAAATATATTTTTATTATTTTTATAGAAACATTCTTTTGAATTCCCTGATGTGTGACCTCGTAACTCTGAACTATGACTGATAGACTTAACCTCCTTTTCCTTTTTTTTTCCCCCCTCTTGACATTCTATCCCTTACAGAACTGTCGATACTCTCAAATGGTCCTGTTTGCCCAGTTTTATTGGTAAGAGTCATGATTTCTGATCGGACATGACTTCAAAGAGTGTTCAGTTGATCTAGTATGGGTTTACCCATTGCTTTTAGAAGTATCACATACATAACTGTCTTCGCTACCAGAATATATCTTTTGGTTATTTCCTTATTTCCTGTCTCTTTCTGAGGCATCAGCTTGGAAACCGAAGGGGAAGTGATAGGTGTGTCTTGTGTTAAGCTGGCCATGCACCGAGAGGTAGGAGAGATAGAAATGAGAACCCATAAGAATTTGGGTGAGTTTTGGACACAGGCACTTGTTAGTTTCTGTGACCAGAGAGATAAATGTACACGTGGATGACTTAGCTTAATTTAGCTTAAAAGTTAGGTTTACACTGATGATGTTATGTGCCAGAAAAACACAACTTTGAATAGTGAGAATTCTAGTCTTAGATCAGCTATGGAATTTCTGTGTGATCCTGGGAAAGTCCTTTCTCTTCTCTGTGTTTCAGATTACCCATCTTTAAAATGAAACAATAGAGATTTCTTCCATTTCTGATTTTTGAGATCCACTAAAATGTCTCTTTCAGGAACATTATGAGATGTATTCAACTGTGCTTTCCCTTAGGTTTTTTCCAGTGTTGTTGAAACTGACAGGTTATCCTGCTTCAATTTTTTTTTTTTTAAGATTTTATTTATTTGACAGAGAGAGAGCAAGAGACCACAAGCAGGGGCAGTGGGGGATGGAGAGGGAGCCCAATGTAGGGCTCAATCCCCAGGACCCCAGGATCATGATCTGAGCCAAAGACAGACACTTAACTGATTGAGCCACCTAAGCACTCCCTGCGTCAGTTTTTTGATCAGAAACTTTGTTCTACAAGCCCCTGTTGGCTGTCAGCCTAATCCCTCCCTCCAGTACTGTCTGGATAATTGCATTTTCTTTCTTCTCTAGCATGTCCTAAAAACCCCTCTCAGCAGAGCCAGTGTGGAGCTGGGGAGAGTACATTAAGGGGCCAAGAGACTGTCTTCCAGTTTCAATATTTATAGTTGACAAGACACAGTAAATTCACCCTTGCAAAGGAATAGAGGAGAACTAACACATCCTTATTTTGCTTTTACTGAATGGGTGTCCATGGAGGCAGGTGATAGATTGTACCTGATGATTATGAGGTCTCTTGGCATGATGTAAACACACACATATACCCCCTAGCGTCAAAGCTGAGACCAAGCTTGTGACAATGGATTCTGTCTCTAATTAGATGGTGGAGAATATCCAGTCAGTCCTTGGATCCACAAACTCAAGCCAACATCTCACTGTGGGAGGACATCATTTGTATGAGCATCATCAGCATTGCCATCATAATAGTGGAAGCACAATTTTATCCAAAAATGTTAACTGAGACTTAACTATGTTCTGGGCACTGGAGTACATGCTAGGAGGAGAAAGAGGTGAAAAAGAGAGAAATAATAATGAAGTCCACAAATCAGTGAACAAGAATAGGCTATGATAAATGATGTGAAAGAAGTAATCAGATTGATGTGCTAGGGCAGAGAAGGAAGGCTCTATTTTAGTTTGGGTAGTCAGAGAAGGCCTCTCTGAGAAGGTAGTGTATAAGCTAGAATTCTTGCAAATTTCTTGAGAAGACAGAGGTGTGACTGGCACTGGACATAGATTTGGCTTGAGGAACAGAGCAGTATATGGGCAGTTGAGAGTAAAGTGCATCGGAGTAGAGTGATTGGAGGTGAAGTTGGTGAAGTGAGCATGCTGGGCCTTGAGGACCCTTGGAAAATTTTAAGCAGGGTGTTGACATGTTCTATGATTTTAGGAAGCCACTCTGGCTGCTTTATGTAGAATGAGTGGATTGGAGAGGTGCCATGACTTGGAAATGGAAAGGCTAGTTACTCCAGGCACCTCCATCACCTTTCTGGCTCACAATGCAAGCAGTTACCAAGTCTGAGAGGCTCCAGGAGTACTCTAGGAACTGTGTGGGAACTTGAATCAGTGCGGTACAGCAGAGATGGAGAGCAGTGCTAAGATGAGAACTTCATACTGAGCTCCTACAGTATGCCAGGCACTGTGCTAGGCATTCAGGGTATGGTGAAGGATAGGACACCTTCCACCCTCCTGGAGTTTACATTTCAAGGGGGACAGAGAGAGTAAACAAGTAGACAGCATCCACCCACACAGAAAGCTGGCCTCCTCTTAACCCCCTCTTAGCCTGCATCCAACCAGTCAGTAAGTCTTCTCGCTGCTGTTCTCATCTTTCTTCCTGTCCAACCTCAATGCTCTCATCTAAGCACCAGCCTCCAGTCTCCCAAGTATACTCTTAAAGATCCTTCCTGCCTCTTGACTGGCTTTTCTCTATCTACCTTCCTTATTGATACCAAAGTGAGTTTTTTCAAAGGCTAACTGGACTGTATCATTTTCAGAGCTTAGAACCATATTTCTCCCCCAGTGTTGACCCTAGGATAAAATCCCAGCTCTTTAGTCTAGGATATAAGACCAATTATGACTGGCTGCTATAAACTTCTTTAGCTGCGTCCCTTGCATCCATGTATCCTCATTATAAGACAAAAATTGCTTATAGCAAATGGAGTACATGCTACTACCTGATGCTATTACCCCTTTTGCATGTGTGTAAGGCTCTCTTCTTGACTTCCCACTGAACATCTATTCATACTTTAAAGCCCAAACCAGAAATCCTCTCCTCTGGAAAGGCTTCCTTACCTCCATGCTACTTGCACAAGCTTTGCCTCTCTTTGCATAGTGATATAGTGATCTCTTTACTTGCCTGTCTCCTTCAGTACCAGATGAACTCTTTGAAGGCTAGGATTGTGATTTATTCTGCTTGGAATCCCCAAGCTTAGCATGGGGCCTTACACAGAATGCTGGCCCACAAATTAATAAATTGGATGAGTTTGGGTC